TTTTCTTCTTCAAATGCTATTATTACTTATTTTTCCTTTCATTACAACCCTCAGAAGTGATTTCACTTTTATGTTCGTTACTGTTCATTTATAATCAGCTTTTGATTGCATGCTGATTATTCTTAAATTTCAACCTTATACTACTGAGGAAAAAGAGTGCCTCATGTAATGCTTCTGATTACAAAATCAGCTGGATTAAGTTATATAACTTTTTCAAAAGGCCTATAACACAGGTATTAAAATGGGCGGGGTGTTTTCTTTTTTGTTTTAACCTTGAGTAAGCTGTCTGAATAAAGAGAATGGATTTAGAGGAAGGATTTTTAAATAAGGTTTGCTATTTTCTTCTTTAAAAGCAAAATTAAAAAATACAAGAAGTGACACATTTGAATCAATAAGGCTTTGCATTTTTTCCAACCTCTTGCTATGGTTTAAATTATTTCTGGAAATCTTATTTTGGAAGTGGCATCAAAGCTTGTATCCCATTCCTTGGTATATTCTTCTCAATTGCAACTCAATGTAATTGTCTTTACATTTATTTCACTTTCAGGGATGGTTAGAGCTTCTCACATTTAACAGTAGTGAATAAATTGGTTCGAAAACAAGGATAAGAAACTTAGAGCAAGACAACTTATAGTTCTGGCTCATGAGCTATCTCTGCAAGCAGCTAAAAGAAAAAAAAGAATCCACCTAGAGCTGTGCGGAGCAACATCTGTGACTGCAGGGAAGTTTTCTAAAGTCTCTGATCTATACCTGGCTTCTCTTCAAAATGGGGCCAGCAGTTCAGTAAGAATGCTCCCTGGGGTCACTGTGAAGACACAATGGGCCTGGCCATGAGTGGCCCCGAGTAAGGTCAGATGCCTATCTTACATAGGCCCCACTTCGGGTTCTCCACGCAGTATTAATAGCCATCGTGTGCGTTACACTAAGAGAAAGAGCACAACCCCAGAAGGTGGGGAGCCCTTCCAGAACACAAATCACAGTCGTTCTGATGCCCTTTACTCATGAGTCTCCAACAAACAATGCATCTCCTACCCAGGCTTCCTACCAAATCACCACGGTGCATCCATGTGGTACTGAACGAACACCCACTTCAAAGATAAATGAATATGAAAACAGTACTTAAATAATAAAATATTATCAGAAGAAATATTTTAACATAGACTTGGAAACTAAAAATATACAAGCTACACATCAGACAATACTTCCACAAAGGTAAACATTAACAAAAAATATCATTATATGTTCACGTTCGGAGCAGCACTATTCGTAATAACCAAAGGTAAAAGCAACCCAAGAGTCCCTTGACAGATGAACGGATAATTAGAATGACATACACACACAAAGGAACAGTATGCAACCTTGAAGAAGGAAGAAATTATGGATATTTGTTTAAACATGAACTATGAATATTCTATAATAAATGAAATAAACCAGTTTAAAAAGGTCAGACATTCTATGAGTCCTCACAAATGAACTTCCTAGTGTACTCCCAATCACTGAGCCTGAAAGTACAGTAGTGGTTGCCTTGCTAGGGGCTGGAGGAGAGAGAATGGGTGTTTACTGAGTATAAAGTTTCATAAACTCTAATGGAAAAGGAAGTATTTTTCTCTCATCTTTACATAAAGTTTAACTCTGTAATTTTTCCCTCATTCTGAAATTACATTTTATACAAAATGTAGTCATAAAATCTATTTTATGCTACCATAAAAGGCTCACCATAAACTTACATCAAAAAAAACGATAAAAATTAAGACCCACACAGGATCCAGTACACTCACATCCCACCTGTCTAGGGCCCTGGGAGTTGACCCTATCACCCTCAAAGCACCCTTAGGCCTAGCCTTCCCAAGGAGCCCTCACCTGCGACTCACACATTCCTACTCAACACTCAGCCCTTCAGTCCCTCTGCACCACTGTCAGAGTAGGAAGGATCAGCTGTCTCTGACTCCACCACCTCAAAATGTTATGTGGCTTCTAATTAGCCAGATAGTACATTTAGTTCTTCATGTTAATTTTTTAAAAGGTAATATCCAAAAAATTCATTTTTGTTTACAATTTTAATGACACATCACTTTTTTTATGACATATTGCTTTAAAAGAGTTATGACTCTTAACAAAGAAACACTCATCATTAAGTTTATTCCCTGAATCCAAAATAATTAGTACCTCCCAGTTTTTTCTGGGAGGTACTACTTGTTAAGAATCTACACAGACCCTCAGAGGCTGTGTATATGAGTGTATATGAAATGTGGTTTTCCCTCCTTCTTTTCCAAGGTAAGTTAACCCAAATAGGTCCTTCAAAGTCCAGGTGGTGTGACACAGCATCTCAACAGCAGGAGGGAGAGTAAAAACCTAAGATGGTGAGAGAAAACAAAGCACAAAGAGAATTTCCTTATAAAAAAAGTGACAAGATCTCCATTGGGATGGAGCAAATACAAACATTTTCTGATAGCTAAAAATGCTAATCTCCATTTCCAATCAATGCTGTGATGCAAGAAAGTCCTTTTCCCAATAGACTGTATTTTATTCTTCCACATTTGATTCTGAGCACATGGCAAGTCATTTTCCCACTTTACTTTCCTACTTCATTTTTCAATTCTCCACTTTACCACTCATTTTCCTTGCAAGTTCTGAGGTTGAAGAAAAGGATGGGGAACGGCAAGGACAGCATTACAGGCGTTTCCCTTGATACCAAATTTACTGATAATTGATAATCCAAAATGATTAGTGCTAAACCTAACACCCATGTACTCATTTAATCCTTAGTACAACTCTAGGAAGTTGAGTATTATAACTTTCCTCATTCTGCAGATGAGGAAGCCAAAGCTAAGAAATGTATTGAATTTCATTAAATTTAAGATGCCAACAATTATAAGATTCAACTTTTTTAATGTAACATGGGGGAAAAGAAATACACTGTGTGAGACATCTTTGTTTCCGAAATAATGAAAGGTAAAATACCATGAATTTTACAACATAATTTGTAATTATCCCAAAATCACAAATCAACTAAGCACTGAAAGCAATTTGCAAAGCATGACTTCAGTCTTGATTTATGCCCACTATCCTGGCATAATTTTTTTTTAAGAGCTGGGGATTGAATTCAAAGCCTTTGTACTGAGCTACATTCCAGCCTTTTTAAATTTTTTTATTCTGAGCCAAGATTTCACTAAGCCGCCAAGTTGCCCAGGCCAGACATGAACTTTCCATTCTCTTGCTTCAGCCTTCGAGAGTGCTGAGATTATAGGTGTCCACCACCAAACACAGCTATGGCATAACTATTAAAAATATTCCCTTCTATTCCCAAATATATCTCAATATAAGTATAAAACATATGATTAGCCTACTAATAGTCTGAGTGGAAAGAATCCCACACATTATTCTGGGACTGATGCAGGAACCAAGGCAACCTGGGCAAGCTCGCACCTATACTGCCACCTAAAGCTCTGCCCCATGAGGCAGATCTTTATTCAGCAGTGACCAACAGAGCCTCACAAATCCTTCTCTTTGAGAAGCATAAATGTAAGAGAACCAAGATACACTGGGCTATTTCAACTCTGGCATTCGTTCTAAATGAAAAGTACTGCAGGCCTGTAAGGAGCGCTGTTTTCCATACCTATGTTGGAAAAGTTCACTTGACAACTTGGGAGAGATGAGCCAGCTCCCTATAATATCTCATCTTGCTTCTTAATAATTCTCTCCCAAAGGTTACTTGGCATTATGGTTTAAAAAAAGTCTAAACCAAGGCACCTCCCCATCACCTTGAGTTCTATGCTAAATTAGAGTGGTTCAGACCAGAAAAGTAAACAATAAGAGAATCTTTGGGCAGTTGAGAAAATGGAAAGAAAACAAATCAAACATGAATGTGGAAACCTGGAAAAAAGAAGACAGGTGGGAAGGTAGTGATTTCTGAGGACAGAAAATACAACAGTGCCCCACATGGGTCAAGTCACCCCCACACCCGATACACTGATGTTCTTCACCACAGTCATTCCTACCTCAGCCACACAGGAGGACAGGGAGGACACCATAAGCAAAATCTGCCAATACATTAGCTGGCCAGCGACCCAAAACTGGGTACACAAAAAGGAGCTAGTTGTTAGAACTTGAAACTTTGGGAGACAGCATAAATTGGGTGATGCACTGGGGACAAGGGGACTGGATTAAGTATGGGAATGGACAGGTGCAAACGCAGGTCATGAAGTTACAAAGAAATGTTACCCCAAGTTAAGGGACCACTTGACAGAGCAGAAAAAGGTACAGAGAAGTCAAACAGTACCTTTCAATACTGTAAGCTTTTCTTTTTCCCCTGAGATAAGACCAAAGTCTCTTTCAACTAAAGACTTACTAAGCACCTGCATGCTCCACCCAAGACTAAGAGCAGGGAAGGAAGTAATAACGTAGTATTCACCATTACACCAGGCCTAGAAAGTAGTTAATACTGGGTAAAGTAAGCCCAGCACCTGGGCTTACCCAGCTCTTTGCCATGCTCTGCAGGACTGGCACATCTCTGAGTCTTTCCATTCCTGCTCTTTTTCTGAGGCTCTGACAACATGCCCAGAGAACAGCAGGCACAGGCAGAACACACACATGATTTCATGAGTAAAGACACTGTAAAGTAAAAGCTATTCCTCACACCCTTTCTGCTCACTAACAGTAAATATGATTTCACCACTTTTTGCAAAGGATAGAAGAGGCCAGCAATGGGGACCTAGCAGGGAAATTGTGGGTCTTTCTGCTCACTAACAGTAAATATGATTTCACCACTTTTTGCAAAGGATAGAAGAGGCCAGCAGGGAAATTGTGGTTCTTGTCCAGTCTCTTTCATTAATAACATCAATCTTTCTCTGCTATCTTCCCATTGCCATGTCTCTTTGTATTACGGTATCTATGACTTTCCAGGGACAATTCTGGTTTCTACCTGTTGTCCCAGGTAAGTATTCACAGTGTTTACATTCACTCAGGAGTGTCCCCAGTGTGATAATAAAATATGTGGTTACCTTAATTTTGGCACAAGCTTCCAATGTTTTCCAATTTTGTGCTTTTATGTATAAGGGCAATCTGTAAATGAATTCATGACCCAAGCACAAGAACGCGTTCACCTTTTAGAGAGGCTGGAATGTAAAGAGAAAAAAGACATCTGCTAATAAAATGCATACATAGTTCTTACAAGAGCACAGCACTACTGTATGCTGAAGACAAGATTTAAACTCAAGGAGCACAATGACCCAAAGTACAGATTCAGGACGAAAGCTGTCCAGATGACCTCCATTCTCAGATACCACTGAGCCTGTCCAGGTCACGTCCAGAAAGTCAGTTCACTGTGCAAACACTGTCAGTGCCTCGCTATCACCCTTACGAACAAGGTTGCCTCCATCGCCAGGCCCCAAGGATCCTGCCTAAATCTCTGGGCTGAACCTCTGCCGTTTCCCAGCTGCAAACTTTACCAGGCAGCCTTCCCGAACTTCCTCAGGGTCTTCAAGTCACTAAGAGAGCCCAGAAAGTGGAAGAGAACAGGCATGTGGAGGGCTCCACGGAAGTAGAAAAGGGGGTGCCAGATCCCTCACCCACCCGCAGGACCCCGAGACTTAGCCTTGCACTTTACTGTATCTCCATTATCAACCCATACCTCCAATTTTACCATAAAAGTAAATTTCAGAGGTAAATGTACAAATCTACACAGACCTTCATGGTCTATGCCTAGGTGCTATTCTTTCACAATCATTTCCAGAAAGAATGAAAGCTGGCCATATGCTCGGCACTGAGATCAAAGTCTAACTCATCTGCAAAGGTGATGAAGTGCCACCACCTTTCCAGCATCCCTCAACCTCAAAGGCTACTGCTCTACGCTAGGCAGTGAAATACACAGGCACATATTGCAACTTATTATTTAAGTGCTCCTCCACCTCAGGCTACTGACGCACATAAGTTCAGAAGCCTCTGCTCTGTCAACATTGAGATGTGCAAACATTTCTGGAATGATCAACGACTACAATGGTGAAACTGAGCTTCCCGCATGACCCTTACCCCGAGCTTCACTAGAGCTCCACTCTGCGGGATTCATAAGACAACCAGGGTTCAGGAGGGAGGCCTTCTCCCTGAGCCTCAAATTCCCCAGATGTTAGGAGGGAATAATCACTCTTGTCTCGCACAGCTATTGCAAGGATTCAATGAAATAAAACATAGTAGTACCAAGCTATGCCTAACTGAGATGACAGCAAATGATAAATGTTTATGGAATCTGAAAAGGAAAGCTATTCCAGCTCAATAAAGCCTTAAAAAAGGCAAGTAAAGCAAGTAAACTTAGCTTCAAATTCAGTGAGAGAGAAATAATCATTGTAGGCTCATGATCTAATCATAATGCCAAATGTTTTACATATCATCTTATTTAATCTTTGTAGCCATCTGTAAAAACTAACTCATTTCAGAGAACATCAAGTACAACATTTGTTCCAGGTTGCAGAGTAAGAACACTGGGAATCCAGAATTTGAATTCAGCTGAATATGAACCCAGAGCTCATTCCATTAACCCCTCTGTTATTCTGCTCTCTAGAGCCCAAGCCAGAGAAAGAGGAACTTGGATAAGAGCCCAAAAAGGGCAACTGTGCAGACTTCATCAGGATGCCTGAGTCAGCCCAAGTCCACATGACCAAAGGCAAAGTCATGGGGGATAGGTAAACAGATTAATTGGATGGTTCAGCCTAAACTGGATCTCTTGGCGATACAGCTTAATGATTTAACAGTATGCATAGTTTATTAGCATGAATCAGGTGACTCCTTGGCACTGAGACGCTAAACAAGTGATCATGGGGACTCTCTATGCTTTGATCCTTTACATGAAAAAGGAGACATTACATTATAAAGGTTGCATTATAAGGGTTAATTAAAGAAATAATGCACAGCAATCACTTCACATAGTATGAGCTCAATAATCAATTCTATAGGGCTAGGGATTTAGCTCAGTGGTTCCGCCACCTGCCTCGCAAGTGCAAGGACCGGAGTTCCATCCCCAGTACCAAATAATAATAATAATAATAATCAGTCCTATCATGAAAGTCTTTGCTTCCTCTGTCATGTGTATGAAGTATCCACATAGCCTCTCAACTTTTCCTGTTTCTTTTTTTTTTTCTTGGTACCGGGGATTGAACTCAGGCCCTTGCGCTTGCTAAGCAGGCCACCGAACCACTGAGCTAAATCCCCGGCCCCCTTTTCCTGTTTCTTAATGACCATTCCCTTCTCTGTGAAGCTCACTCATTCATTTAGCTCTTCAATGCTTACTGAATACCTAGTCAGGCCAGCTGAGGAAACGACAATACATAAGAAAAGTCTTATGTTTTATAAAGTACAATAAACTGAAAAAGGGATAGAGAATAATTACTGAAGAGAGTACTTAAGAAGATCATTAGAGAAAGGTCTATTGGAAAAACAAATATGTAGTCAGATCTGTGCAGGGAGCCAATGTAGGATCAAGCAAAGTGTCTTAGATGAAGAACACTGTTCAACTACACATCTCTGTGTAACAACTGGCTTACACGTCAATTTTGCCATGAGTCTGTGAGCCCCCAAGGGTAAAGGCTGTGTATGTATCCCTTTCTCTCTGCACTTCCTTAGCCATTTTTCCTAAGTGCACCCACCTCCCTTCTCTTAAACAATGGATTAACAGTGAAGAACTAACTCAGTAAGTTTTCTGCGTTTGGGGAGTTTAGCACTGGGCATACACAGTTAAGTGTTTCAAACAACTGTGCTACATGAATATTTGCTTGATTTTCAGCTGTAGAGCTGTATGTCTTGCCAAGTTCTAGGCTCTGCAGATCCATTCATCCTTTGTCCTAAAGATCATCACCATCCATCGACTCATTACTGCCTCTCCCTTCTCTGTACTAACCCACTTGCATTGCGCTACATGCAGTCCATTCCACCTGGAAAGCAATCCCCATCACCCCCACCTTTTTTGACAGATGAACTTCCAGTATTAACTTCCAAATTTCATTACTGTACTGCTCTTTATCATTTGTTCAAATGTTTACAAAGTTCTCGAGTTTTTCAGCCAAAACTTTACCATGCAGTAACAGCACTGTATCAAGTGACACTTCCAGATTGAGTAGTAAAGAGAGTTGAAGGTCAAGATGATCTGAGGATGCTTGAGTTATGTCTTTTATGTCTTTTCCTCAAATTTCAGTGACTTTCTGGGCTTCATTCCTGTAGAACTGTGCCAGGAAACAAGGGCAGCAAAGTTCTCACTTCTGTATACTCACCTGCTCACCCACAGAAGAAAAGCTCCATTTACAGTAAGCAAAACCAATTTGGAACATGAGCTATCACTTAAAGGTCTTCCCATCTGGAAGGTCAACAGTTTAGCACCTAAATTATTTGAGAGGGATACCCTTTTCTAAAAGCAGAAATTGCAGTTGTACTTCATTTTAAGAAGGGAAAAAGGGTCAGATCTTTATTGTCCAGGGCAATAAGGCAGATTTACAACTTCCACCACCTCCCCCACAATCTCATTTAGCTGATAAGAACTTACAATCTTTAGTCCTTTCCTTCCAAAAGCCAGGCTCCTCCCCCTTTCTCCCTCTTCTTTTCTCCTCCCACTTCCAAATGAGCAGAAAATTAAACTGGAACCATTCTCTCTGCGGCAACACTATACACTACATACTAAAACTGAAGTATCCAACAACAGGGACCTAAGGGGAGGCAGTCTTCTTTGACAATATGTACCTCTGGGCTGCACGGGGATCTACACAACAGTGATTCTAAAGTTGGCTGGGGATTTAGCTCAGTGGTTCTGCCACCTGCCTCACAAGTACAAGGGCCTGAGTTCGATCCCCGGTACCAAAAAAATAAATAAAGTGGGGGGTCTGAGAGGCAGTGTATCCCACATGACTATGCTACCTTTAAAAAGAACTATGTCCTAACAGGCCAAGGTACTGTGCTTAGAATCACTACTATTTCAATCTCAATGTCCTCAGCTAAGATTCCCCAAAGACTGACAGACACATGGGCTCCTCTCTGCACTCATCACAGAGCAGCTTTCCTGTATTGTCACCAACTGCCACAGGACTTTCTTCACTTGTCTGCCAGGGTAGACCTATAACAGTGGCCAATCGCCAAAGTGTTGAGTTCACTGACCACTACGCCCCTAACAGTTCCAAAACCAGCCTGCTTCACGCTAAAATAGGAAATATGTACAGTGTAGTTATTATATGGCTATGCTGCAGCAACCAAGACAGAGACTCAGATCTGGTGGTGTTTTTAATTAGATATATAGTTTTGTGTATGTCATTTAACCACTCTAAACCCTTAACAAGTTTTTGTCACACAGACCCGGAAAGTCTCCACGTGATTTGACCCGTCTATCACATGTCATGCACTGGCACTTTTTCAACTTTATCTGACTAGATATGCAGAGCTCATTCCCACTTCAGGGTCTCTGAATCACCCCTCTGTCTGCCTTGCCTAATACTGAGTCTCACCTGACCAGCTTCTTTCGTCACTTAGCTCAAATGTCAAGAAGGATCTCAAATGTCCTGGATCTCATAATGTCAGCTATGGACAAGGGGCTAGACAGGTAACACTATCAAATCAGACTTACACAGAGAAGACAAAGATCCGAAAATAAAGTTCCTTATCAATCACAGCCCACTGATTCACTCTGTAACCTTCAACAAGTCACTAAATTTTTCTACCCATGAAATGAGCTCTTGCCCATGCTCATTTCTGGTTCTTGGATACTGTGTGCAACTGCTATCTTTAAAAAAGAAAAAAATTGTTCTCATTTGCTAAGCCTGTGTTTGCAGGATAACAATTCATTCTCAAGTATGTAAATCAAGCAACCAGACCAAGTGGAGCAAGAGATCTTTCTACCAAGTCTTCTTGCCAAACCGAGAGTATCTTACACTCAACCAGTCTCTCAAGTGTTGTGATCAGGCTTCCATTTCCTGGATGGGCAAGAAGACACACTTCAGATAAATATGCTACATTTTAGTCTTCTCTGAACAATTTCCTCTTCCTGTATTCTGACTTCCATAACCCCCATGCTTCTCATTAATTTAAGGCCACCTTTCTAGTTAGGCTTGTGCTTTTTGTTTTTTAATGTGACACTTAAGGAATAGGACTTACTCGATCATCTGGAGATAGTCTCCTCACTCTATTACAAGTTATTAGTGGTTTTACTTAGACAAAAACCACCATTCATTTTGCTACCTCACCATACTGTCAAGTGACTATTAAACATATTACAACAAGTATCAGCACTTTTTATAATTACATTAACAATAAAAGAAATGAGATGTCAGAAAATGAAAGGGGGGATTCACAGAAGTCATAATTAACCAAATCTTAGAAAAATTGAAGAAATCGTTAGTTTTTTTTTTCTTTTGTTTTGTTTTTGCTTTTCATAAAAACTATACTTCACATGTCCTAGTTAAAGTTGCATAATAATTTGCCTCTCATTCATTAAAAATGGGGAAATGGACAACATACTTGCTAGAATATAACTGAGTCCCAGACTATCCCTTCTTTAAGAGAGAATTTATGGAAACCAAGAGGTCCACTAGTTGAGTGATTTTCCAAGAGTCGTCACCAACTCAAAATTTCCCTCTTAAGGTTTCTCCCCACCGGGAAGCTTGCCATCTGCAGAAAGTAAAATCTACTGGTGGTCAGGATGGAATAGTTTCCATAACGTACGAGATAAAGGCCAGTGGCCTGATGGGTTTCGAAGTTGTGCAGTGAAAAGAAGAGGAAAAACATTTCCCATTTTTCTCCTTGACTCATGCATTTCACCAACTCCAGGACCCCAAAAAGTCTGCAAAAGCAGGTGAGTTACTAAATTGCCTGAGCAAAATTCACTCAGCAAGGTGAGTTACTAAAAACTAATCGGGCTACAGGACTTTGAGGCGTGTTCGCCACGTGGCCAAATAAATGTCTTCTGGGTCACACACTTTTCACAAACAGGACTACCAGAGCCGATACTAAAACCCCAAGATTCCAAAACCTAGGAACTTTTCTCAAACTTGCACCCGGCGCCTGGTTCGGGGTCAGGAGCCGTCAGAGTGAGCCGTGGGCCCGACGTCAGCGGCCCCGCAGAACTGGGTCGTTCGCGCGCAGAAGCACTGCCACGCTGACGCCCCGGGCCCTGGGCCCCACACCCCAGGGGCGGCGCATCGGAACTAGGAGGAGACAGGAGCTGGAGAGCGCGGGGACCTGGGCAGGTG